AATAATTATATTATTATATATATATATATATATATATATATATACATACATATATATATTATATATTATAATATATACTTCATATTTTAATTTATCTTTAGATTTATCACAATTATTGTAAAAAAAAATTGATATCTTTAATTATCGATTTTCTCCAAATACTTATTAATGTATTGACAACAAATCGTTACCATGGTTACTTTCCCTATTTACGGAGGAATTGCTGGTTATTAAACTGTTCTTGTTTCTAGTGAGGCGAATGTATTTAAATATGACGTGTTTTAATTACGATATAATAAGAGTTAAATCTAATGAAGAATCAGTAGAATGAGTCGATCAGTCGAAAGAATTCCAAAACGATGGAATATCTCGGAAATTCCACATAGGAATGAATCGAGCAGTACCGAAGAATCTTCATCACTTACCGACAGCACTCAGTATTCACCGTATCTGCAAAATACTAGCACACCTCTTAAAACTCGATGGACAAATTTAGAAGAAATAAAAACTCGAAGAGGACAAGAAAAATTTGAAGATATCGAAAAAGCGTCCTCCAACAAAAAGAGATTGGAAAGATTTCAAAAACATAGAAAACATATTGGTCGAAGAAAACAAGACAACCATGAAAGAATTATTGAAAAGCAAAAGGGAGAACACAATCGACACGATAAACGAAGACATGAATATTCTAAGGATTCTGTGGAAAAGAAAGCAGAGTCTGATTCAGAGTCCTCGGTTAAAAATGATAGTGAAAGTGATTTAGAAAAATCGAAAAGAAAAAAACATGATTTTACAAGTAAAAGTAAGTTGAATGGTTTTAATAAAAAATTAAAATATTGAATATAAATTATTTTTGTTTTATTAGGAGATAATGAATTGCCGATTACGGAAATTTTAAGAAGATCGCAAGAAAATACACAAACTAAATATGAAGAGCAAGCATCACTTCCTGTATTAAATACAGATAAAGTTTATGTACAGTATAGAGGTGGTTTTACTACTATGAAAATGAATCCATCAAAAGATCAATCCATGAGTTCTTCTAATATTAAAAAAATTGAAAAAGACGCTACTATCGATATCATTGATAATCAAAGTTCTTCACGTATAAAAATAGCTATTAAGGTCCAACAATTTTGGAAAAGAGCAGGTCTTTTATGCCAAGGTCTTTTAGCTGGTACAGCATTAATGCATTTTATAACGGTACGTTTCTCTCTTGATGTAAAAACTTCTTGTAATTATGTTTTAATCTTTTAATTTTTTTTTCAGTTATGCACAGTTTTTAGTAATTCCATAGAATTTATTGTAAAATATTCAACATATTCCGAAATTTACACAAATAATTTCTCATTTCTTATCGCTTTATGCATTGTGGCAACATTTGATAAGTAAATTTAATTTATTAATTAAAACTAATTACTCTTCGAAGTTTTAAATAAGATTGTATTTTTTAGATTTGATTTGGCACGATTTGATGTAGAGCATTTACGTGAGCTTTATTTCGACTATAACAAAGCAATAATCGCAGTTCCTTTGTATCTGGTCATTTTTTCCCTTCATCAAGTCTGTGCAGAGATCGACAATAAATTAAGTTTAATCCATTATTACAATTCCAATGTTTCTACGTTGCAAAACGTAAATAAAAAATAATGTATTTGGTTTTAAAACAAAACATTTTTTATATTAAATATATTTTAGATCACTAATATTCAATCTCTTTTGGACGAATTGAATAACTGGCAAAAGATATCCATCTCGAAAGATATACTTGCAATGTTTGCATGGTTATTTGTTGCTCTTGGTACTAGAGACGATTCATTTTTAATATATCTACAATCAATGAAAAAATATGCAAACGATATTGAGACTTCTGGACAATAAATCAATTTCTTTGGGACAGATATTTATTATATTTAATTTATATTACCATCATATGGATAACAAATAATAAAATAAGGATAGAAATAAAGTAAAAATATGGAAATTAGCGCTATCTTTAAGATATCGTAAATAATAAATAATAAATAATACCAAATGTGATAAAAGAATAGAAAAGAATAAGAATTGATCATCGACGCCATCTTTTGAGTATCAAAAATATCTCTTCAAAAGGAGGATAAGATAGTAAAAAAATTGAAAATCAGTGCCATCTCTTAAATATTTCTAGAAAGAGATATTTTTAATATTCAAAAAACGACGTTGACGAACAATTCTTACTCTATTTCTATCTTTCCTCTGCTATTTTCTATTTTTTCTATTCCTTGATTAGTTAGTTTTATTTGTAGGATTCTGAATCTTTTTTTTATTCTTTTTTTTTTTGCTGTTATACTCGCGTATTTGTTGTGCATTATGTGCTCCAAAGAAAGCTTCAATATCCGATTAACAATCGAATCGGCGTAATTTTAAACTCATGAATAATTCAATTGTCTGTCTATTACGTAGCAAAAAAATATTTATGAATATATCTATGAATATATTGTATAAAAATATTTATGAAAAGATATGTTAAAGAAATTATTTTTAAAATTTGTGAAGTTTATCATTTTTCTGATAGAAATGAATATAATTCTTACTCTTCAACATATAAAATATTTTAATCGGTATTTCAGAACATAGGATATGAAATTTTACTTACATTAGGTATATTCTCGTATCTCATCCTATTTATTATAATAACAATAAGAATAATGTATTATTCTTATATCTTCTTATATATCTAACGACTATAAATAAAGATTACAAAATTGCACTTTTTTTTTTGAAAAGGCGTGTTTCTTTTCGAATAAATCGAAGTAAAAAGTATTCCATCTTTAATAAGTTATATCAGAAATGTGTAAGAAAATGCGATTCATACGATTTCAATATTTATTCGTAACAGAATAAGGTTTGATATGTACAATATTTATAAAGTTCTAAATTCTAACAAATAGTACACATATATGTAATACCAATAAAGGATAAAATAACATTAAAAATAAAATAACATATGGCGCGATCGTGTCGTAATAATAAAATATCTTCTTAGACTTTGTCTTGAGCGCGGCACCAAGTTGAGTCGACGATTACGTAAAGAAATTTTCAAGGTTTTCGAATAAAATAACAAGAAGAAACAAGAGGATGCATTAAATTATCGCATCAAACGGAGATAACGTTAAATGCGCCGAATGCGTTTCCTTAAAACAAAATAAGGAAAGAGCATAAGTTGCGCGTAATCGTCGATGCAACAAGTGCTCTCGTTGTACGACAAACTTTGCTATAAATAATGTGCGAAGGCTTTTATTGATCTGCGAAGCAACAGATAAATATACTATATATATATTATATCATTATTATATAATATATATATCATATACGAATAAATACTGTACGTACATTTACATCGTTATCATCGTTTTCTCTGCACGAATTTACAATCGGCGATAATTTAAAATATTATCTTCTTAACTTAACGCTAACTTTGTCAAGGCACTGTTTACAGTTCTGTCCGAGGTCTCGATTCTATTGGAAACTATCGTCGTTCCCTTTTTTTGTTTTTTTTGTTTTTATTTTTGTTTAAAAAAAGTCAACACACGTCCTCGATAAACGTTAATTAAATCCATTATGTTCGTTTCAATTTCGATCGAATAAAAATTCCCTTTTCACGAGAACAAGAAAACTCAAGGACGTGAGCAATAGTGTTCCGATTTTAACGGAACAGGAGGGACGATCGTTTCGCTATCGCTCGAACAATCGGATCTCTCTTTTCTCGGATTTTTTTTACTTTTTTTGTTTTTATATTCGATTAAAAAGCAGGACGATAAAATGGTCCGTTTGATCGACAAATGGGGACCCCGTTTGGCCCCAAAGAACAACGCCGTGTTTCGATCGCGACCACTGGAACACGTCGTCGTGACTTTTTTTTTTTTTTTTTTTTTTAAATTAGCTAAAGAACGCTAAACTCGCTTCTCGTGTAATCTGTGTATATATACCTTTAGAAACATTTGTGCGGATTCGTTACGGCAGTATTCGTCGTCGAGACAGCGCGATTTGTACGAGCGGAAGAACGTTGCCGATAATGGAATCGTGTACGTTCGATTCGTAACAAGAGATATCAGTAGCCGCGAGTATAAACGCTGGCATCGTGATCGATGTCGTTCCGTGTATAAAAACGGGAAAATGCCTCTTCTGTTCCCCCCTCCCTCCACGAGAGAACAGAAACGGAAGCGTGGAAAAAACTTTGGATTAGAGCGCGATCCTCCCTCACGAAAATACGGATAAACAAGTTCGAAAGGGAAAAGGAAGTTAGTTTCGTTATAAATATTCTCTATAAAATTGTCATGGGTGATAAGAGCACAAGGAGAGGAGGACAGTGATTCCGGGCAGTGGTCGAGAATCATCCAGACAGAGGAGGAAAAATCGATGGACTCTCGTCTTCTCTTCCAACCAAAAAATAAAAATCAACAGATTTCGCGACGATATTTGGTTTTGTCGAATAATTCGTGCAATCTGCATCGAGACATTTCGTCTCGAGTCTTTCGCGAAAAAAGAAGAGACAAAGAGAGAGAAGAAGTCTGACTTTAAAGATTCCTGTGGCCAAGGAATATCATATGTCACGTGTTTTCCTCCATTTTTCCTCTTTTTCCACCCTTCCCCTCCCTTTTTCTTTGTAGCCCTCCTCCGGCAGAGGGACAGAATCGAATAGAAATTCCACGAGTGGTCGGAGGGAAATTCAACGTGAAGAAGAAAAAAGCGGGAAACGGCGAACGGCGAAGAAGGATTCCTTCCTCCTCCCACTCCGACGGCCGCTCCCCACCACCTCCTTCCAGCCCAACGATCAAACGGTTCCCTCGCCGTTCTGCATGTATCTGCACCAGGAACGGCCGTTATTGTTGCTCTCGCGCGTTTGAACCAATTCTCAGTCGTCGAAGTCGTGCCTCAGCTTGATGTAGAGGCACGAGCCGAGCACGATGCCGAACAGCTCGAGGACCGACAAACCCAGGCCCACAGCCCCGAGGATGATCAGGTGATCCTTCGTCGTCTCGAGAAACTTGTAGATGCAACCCTGAATCGAATCGAATCTTTTATTATTCCAACGATCGACTTAACTTATCTCGATATATACATTGGATCTAGCAAAGTCTAGAACGCAACGAAACGTAAAAATATGAAAGTGGAATCGGTGTGTACCGTGTAATGGATGTTCGACGGATGATCCCTCCTTCCGCAGAGCAGGGTCGGTGTCTTGCAACAGCTATCCGGTACGAGGCTCCCGTTCTCGAGCACATTCTCGTCCTTGTGCCACTCGCTCACCACCCAGTCCTCGAATCTCAGGGCTCCGCAGCATTTGAACTGTGAGGAAAACATTCGTTCATCAAAGCAACAAGTAAAACAAATATTTTTTATTGCAAGAGAAGAGGAATGCGTCGAGAGAATTTTCTCTCGCGCAGGAGGGGGAGGAGGGAGGGGAAATGGATCGAAAGAAGGCTCGGTCGATCGATATTCGCAAAGGACGAATCGTTGCTCTGCAGCGATAACGATGGTAAACATAGCGGACGAGTGAGAGGGAAGAAAGATGGAGAAAAATGGATAGGCGATATCGTGCAAGGCCATGTAAGGCCGAAAGTTAACGACGTTCTCGGTTGCATTAAGAGAGAAAAAGGAAAAGCGTTTCTCAGGTGATATATCCTCGTTGAAACGTTTCGTTTGTAAAGAGGCGGATCGATCGAACGCCAATGAAGAAGAAGCTTTAAGAATTTTACGTTTGTTTAACACGTTCGTCGGCCAGCATGATTCGGTTGAGTTTCTCAAACGTTAGTTTTGAATTAACCAGCTGTATAATACCGATTTTGAAACAGTTGTTCTCAGTGCCTCTATTTCTATTTCTTCGCTTCCATTTTCCAAAGTCAATCTTAAATATTTTGATCTGAATACGAACTTCTAATTGGCTGTCCAACTTCGACTCAGTTCTGTATTATCGATAGAAATTCGTAACAACAGTCTCCTATGTTACCACATACGGTATATAATTTTAGATTTAAAATTGTACAAAGATGCAGAATGGTTCGTTAATGGTTCGTATTTGTCTATCTTTTCTGTTTTTATTGTATATTGGATCTGAATTAATTATTCTCAATACCTCTACTTCTATTTCTTCGCTCTCATTTTCCAAAGTCAATCTTAAATATTCTGGTCTGAATATAAGCTTTTAATTCTGAACTGTTCAACTTCGATTCAGTTCTGTATTATCGATGGAAATTCGTAACAACAGTCTCCTATGTTACCACATACGGTATATAATTTTAGATTTAAAATTGCATAAGAATGATTCGTTAACAATTCGTTAATGGCTCATATTTGTCCCGTTTTTTATTGTTCTTAAATTTTAAATTCTGATTCCAATTTATATTTCAGTGCTTAAAATTCCACTTTAACTCTGCACTCGTATGTCGCCGTATAATTGCTATTCTACATTTTATTGTTTTATTTACATTAATAAATATATGTATAATATAATTACATTCTAATTCTTGTTACTCGATTAGCAATCTTAAATATAAATACAACAAATGCAAAGGGTTAAGATGTTATTTTTCTTGAACAAGAAAACGTCACCCATATTTAGGGCGACTAACGTGTTAAACAAAGCGATGAATTTATCAATTCTGGAAAGGATTTAGATTGTCTCGACTCACCTCTATCTGCATCTGGTCGATCGCCGAGGTTTCCCTGCGCCTCACGGCGTAGTTCTCGAGGAAGGTGCGATTAAGATTCATCTTCAATTCAGGGCCGACTTGTTCCTCGTAGAGACGCGCCAAGGCACCGACGCCCGCCTCCAGCACGAACACCAGCATCACCACGAACACGTACTGATGAGCAGAATGGGAGAAATGCGGATTAGAAGGAAATTGATCGAGTTCGAGAGACGTTGTCGAGAATGAAAACGAGAATGAACGAATATATAAACTCTTTTCGAATATATTTCGTGGCGAACGGAAGTTTCGATGAGGTAAGGGAATCACGATGATGGTTAATTGAAAGCAGAAGAATTGGCCATTAATTCCAGTTGAAAGAGTAAAGTTACTGTAAATTACTTATTAAAATGCTAGAATAGCGTTTTATTCGTTTAGTCATCACAATCGATCCGTTTTTGGTGTAACTTCGCGATTACAATTATTACGTTTTGGACGATAAATAATTAATTAACTCACGGAAGTATCTTTTGTTCGTAACTTCGACCGTTAAATTTTCTCATCATCGACGAAACGATTAAGCGTCTTTCGAAATTAAAATTTTTTTATTCCAAAAAGAAATGTGTAAATCATTGGAAATTGATCGAAACTCGTAAGGATCCGACGACGGCGAATCTTGAAACTTGTCAACTCGCCGACTGTCTCTCTCGGTTTCGCGGCCATTTTCAGGGTGATTAACGAAACGGATCGAAGAGCAGGCAAAGAGATTTGCGCTCTCCTCTGAAACCGAGTTCTCTTTCCACCTACGATATCCACCGCTTGGATCGTCCGTAACGACTTCCGCGTCTCCAAAAGCGGAAAATGGCGGTTAATGCTCGCCGAGGGAAAGGCGTAAATCCTGCACCGGTAGTCTCGACTTTTGTCCTGCGGCCCGTTAACAGATCGCTCTCCTCGATACCCGTCCAACGTGAATCACTCACGCCGATCTTCGACCCGTTTCTTCGATTCTTCCTACGTGTATGTACACGATACGTGTGACGTGTAAAAACAGTGTCAAATGATGAGAAGAGGATATTTAGAGGTATATAGATAGAGGATAGAAATAGAAAATCACGACGATGGTTAACTGACCTCAAAAAATCGTAAATCGTGTTTTTCGATTCAATTAATTTGTTAACAACACGTTTCTCGTTAAAAATTTTTCGTTTCGAGAAGAAGAAGAAGAAAAAAAAAAAAGAAAAGAAAGTGAAGAAGAATAGAAATGGAAAGATGTTCGAGGAAGACTGGGTTGTGGAGTGGGACAGAAAAAAGGAAGTTTTCAAGCGTGTCTAGTTCTTGGAACGAGTCGATTAATAATCGTGCACGATTATTCGCCGAGCTCCGAGTTGAGAACGTGTTCGTTCGAACCTGTTTTCTTTCCGCCGCGATGAGTTATGCCAAGCTTGTCAACAGCCTGCTAACACGCGACCAATAAATCGAGAGCTTCCCCTAATTTTCAGACAAATAAACTCGGGGGATGCCCGAGTAATAATTTGCTCCGTTTATCGTCCCTTCGATAATTTTCGAATTATTTCATCTTTATTATTCGGGTTTTATGTTATTTAAATCTGACTAATTCATAATAAACATTCGTGGATTCGTAGTCGATGATAGGCTATCCAGTGTAATTTTCTCAAATTTTCGAACGTATGGCCAATTCACGATCTTTCGAATTTTCAATTGTAAAAAAATTTGATTTTTGTCATCTTTATTGGAATCTTTATAATTCGTACAGTTTCCTCAAATTTTTGAATGTTGCCAATTCGCCATCTTTTAAATTAATTTCTCTAAATTTTTCCATAAATTTTCAATTGTAAAAAAATTTGATTTTTGTCATCTTTGTAATTCGTATAGTTCAAATTGTCGAACAAATTTCTCTACGAATTAAAATATTCGATTTTTTTCTGATCTTTATTGAAAAGTGGATTTATAATTTGGCCAATATGACACGATCTATCGAATTGATTTCTCCACAAATTTGAATTGCAAAAGGTTTGATTTCTTCTGATCTTTATTGAAAAATCACTTTATAATTCTGCTATATATACAGTTTTTTTCCTCAAAATCTCTGAACGTATGGCCAATTCCTCGAACAAATTGCTGGTCAAATTCGAATTCTTCCCGAAACAGAACGCTTCTTACTCGGGAGATGGAACCACATTCGATCGCGATACTTGGCCAAATCTTCGTAACTAAAACTTTTTCTCCGTAGCCGTTACAGCCGCAAAACGCTGCGCGAAGCGTTTTAGAATTTTCATGAATATAAATCCTCGCCGCGCCGTCGACCTGTCCGCATGAATATTCAAACCGTCAGCCGCAACCAGCCATGGTCGACGATCGACGAAAACTTTCCGTCCAACAACGAGTAGAGCAAAGACTCGTCTCTCTCGCGCCAAAATTTCTCCCCAAATCGCACCCTTCATTATTATCTCTTCCCTTTCAATATACACATTCAACTCTTTGCCCTCCAACGGTGATTCTCAGTGTAATGCGATAACTCCAGTGATGACTCTCTTGGATTGATGCAGCGATTGGAACGACGATATTTATTTACGTTTGATTTCTTTTAAAATGCCGCTTTACGAGTAGATCCCTAAACTCTAAAAGTATAATCTTATAAGATGTGTAGAATAATATTAAATGGTTAGATTTTTATGTGAAATTCGAGTGGCGATAGAAATGTTACTTTCAAAGATTCCGAGTTTTGTAAGCGTGGAATACTGTAATGAAATTAGCTCAAGCGGAGACGAGTTTGATTTTTCGTTTGATTAAATAACGAAATGATTTCTATTCATTAAGAATTGGTAAAAATAGAGATATAGTATAAGAAGATGAAAAATAAGAATAACACGCAATAAATGAGGGCAGAGTTATTGGGATTAGTAAGGTTCGTAACGATATTTTATCGTGATATTTACCCTGACAAACCGAGGACGCTTTTTAGTAATTATTATTAAAATATCACAATATAAATTTTCAATAATCAACATATTCGATATTCAATAAAAATTACCTTTCTTTATATATAAAGATAGATACAATGTTAAAATATAAATGCGCGTGAAATCATTTTAAGTTAGCAAAAAAATTCACCGAACGCGTGCAGAGACCTGGCAAAGAGTTAAAAGAAAAAGAAAAAAAAAACGAAGAAAGCGATGAAACTTGGAAGAATTCGGATTCGAAGAAACTGATTAAACGGCAGCGCGGATGGGATCACGCGGGGGCACGTTGACGCGCGCACGTGGCTCGATTTAAATTCAACGTACATTGGATAGTTGTTGGAGTACGTGTAAGTACGTTACAGCGGATCGGCAATCGACAGTTTAGAATTGGATGGAAGCGGTCGATCATGAACGCTGGCCGCGGCAATCACCGCCGATATCCGGGGATATCCCTCTCCTGGGGGATCGATTTATTTGCATTGTCCTGTGCTCGCGTCGATTCTGTTTGAAAGTAATGAAAACACGGGCGCCAAAAAAAAAAAAAAGAAAATCTCTTGATTTGATATTCGTTCGGAGAACTTTCATCGATTATTATTCTTTCCCTTCAATCGTTTCTGTCCTATTATCGTATTATCGTTTCAGGGCAAATATTTAAGAGAAGGTTGTTATTATTCGTTCGTGGTGACTAATTCGATAATCCGGTATAAATTATATATATACTTCTGAAATGAAAATCGTATAAGTCGGCCAATTTAACGGTTTTCGAGACGAAACATTTTTGTTAGTGACACTTTGTGCTCCAATTCTCAGTCACCACTTCGACGCGACAATTCGAATGGCGATAATATTTATTTGATTTTTTTTAATATATCGCTTTACGAATAGATTCGTAAGCTCTTTACGTACGTATAATCTTATGAAGTGTGGAATAATATATTATCGAATGGTTAGATTTTTTTTATCTCAAATTAAAACGAGTTCGACAGTCGTGGCGATAGAAATATTATTTTCAAAGTTTCTGAGTTTTGTAAGGATGGAAGGAAATTAGTTCGAGCGGAGATGAGTTTGATTTTTCGTAATCAAATAATTATTCTACTCATTAAGAAATTGACATATAGAAAAATAGAGAGGTGTAATAGGAGAAGGTGAAAAATAAGAGTAATAGACGGTGAATGTGAGAGTATGTTATTAGAAAGACATAGACTTGAATATTCGACGAGTTTTCTTTCCTTACACGCAAAGATACATAAGATATTAAAAATATAAAAGTTTTACACGTTGATTTGTGCGCGAAATCATTTGGAAAAATCGTCTGAAAAAGTCCTGGCGAAGGGTTAATAAACAATCTTGGATGATCGAGATCGAACGACAAAGCGATCCTTTCTGTAAATAATTATCCACTTTCGAAAGTTGAGAGATAATTTTCGAAGAACTAGAATTTAACAACTCGAAGTAAAACGAACCCCGATTCGGTTTCTAGTTTTGCCCGCGCAAAGTCGGGCCGCCACTCTCCTTAAAAATACCGGAGGAGTAAAAGTAGAGGGCTCGTTATCGGGATTTTAGCTAGCCGGTAAAAATTTTAATTGACCGGCCGTATATGGGCTCGGCTAATGAGACGATTGGCATCGTGCGCGCAGGTGGCGAAAGGGAGAGGTATGAGAAAGGAGAAGCAAAAGGTTGGCCGAAACAACAACCTTTCGTGACCGATCGGTTCGACGATTCGAACGGCGTTCAATTCTGAATGGTGAAAATCTCTCGCCGAGAGATAATAAAGGTTAAGCGTAATTCTTTTTCCGAAACTTTCGTTCCAGCCGAACGATCGAAAATAGGATAAATGGTCGATATTCTAAAATGCCCCGATTAACCGAGCTCGAAACGTCCGCGTCTTGTCGAGTGATTGGCAACTCTCTGTGTTAAATCGAAGCGGAAAACGAGGGAGGGGACGAGCGAATCAAGGTTTTTCCAATGAAGCGGAATCGACGATCCGATTTTAGCCGCGTAACAGCTTTCTCTCTTTGATTCTCGTGATATTATCGCGAGATAACGATAAACGGGGCGCGACAAAATGGGAAAATTCACGGAAATAAACGAGAAAGGAAACGCGATATCGTCGCTTTAACGATGGTTCGATGAACAGGAGGATTCGTCTGGTGGAACTTTGCTTCCGTTCCCTTTTCTTTTTTTTTCATGCCATAGCGACACGAAGACAGACACCTTCTCTCGAGGATCTCCTCCATCGGCGACACGATCTAACGAGAAGATTTACAAGTCCTCGAGTAGAAACAGAGATCTGAACGTGTCCAAGTGTCCTCTAGGAGAGGTACGAAGTAATCCTCGTACGTTGGAGAAGATTTCGAGCGGCGGTCGGATGGCTTCTTCAGCGTGCAATTAAGGCGAGGTTAAATCTAAAATGGCTCGAGAATTCGGCGTGGGAAAGGAAAAAGAGATCTCGAATTGAAAATTCTTCTTAAAAATGGATCGATTCTCGAAAGAACTCGCAAAGATACATTTTAAATGAAAATTCGAGACAAAGAATATTCTGATTTACATTTACATTATTATACAAACTATGATCAACAGAAATAGATACGTGTCTCGATAACGAGATATCCTAATTTTGACGATATCCTCGAAAGTAAAGTTTTCGAAAAGTAAAGATTTCGATCGAGAATTCGAGAAAAGGATACCTTATTGGCGTATATAAAATTTTTCCATCGACTTTCGAACAAATAAACAATTTACCGTTACATTTATTATTACACGAACTATCATCATCAGAAATAATACAATGCTTCAATAACGAAGGTATCCTAATTTTGACAATATCCTCGAAAGTGTTCCCAAAGGTTAAAACATTTCGATTGAGAATTCGAGAAAAAAAAAAAAGGGTATCTAAAATTTTTCGAACTACTTTCGAACCATTTACCGTTACGATTTATTAAACGAACGAGGAGAAATGGGTACGTGTCTCGATAATGAGGTATCCCTCTATTCTAAGAAAGGATATCCCCTTTGTCTCCTACCACGCTGCTACCAGGCTTGGTTAAGCCGGCGTACATTTATCTGGTCGGTGAGCGTATTTCATGCGAATAAATATAAAAGAGCCGAATAAGGCGGCTCCCCCCCTCCCCGATATATATATATATATATACATTTTCCAACCGTATACGGTGTAACCGTAATCAAGGATGTAGGGAGGGTAAATGGAGCGAGCAACTATCCCTAGATTCGATATCGGCTCGTTACCCCGCAACGTGGACACGTTTTAACAAGGAGATATCGCCGATGATCCTTGGAGAATCTCCTTTTACGTTCGCACGACTTTAACGAGCCTCCTCCTCCTCCTCCTCCTCCTCCTCCTTGGTCCGTATCGGCCAACTTTTTCCCGTCGTTTTCAATATTGATTGTCGCGTAAATTGCGCGAAAAGTAGGGGGAGAGAAAAGGAAAGAACTCGTGCTCTCTTCAACCTTCTTTCAGCCAGCCAAGATTTAATATTCACGTTCAAACAATTTCTTCCCCCTTCTTATTTCTTCGAGAAAAATGTAATTACACGAAAGTTAACGAGCGTTGTTAAATCGATACTACGATTGACGCTTCTTAAAAGCAAGCCTCATCGAGAACCAACTATGATCTAAACGGGCCTCTCTTACTTATCAAATCTCGTGGAAAACGAGGATGCTCGAGGAGAGAGAGAGAGAGAGAGAGAGCTTATACTATATACTTGTTTCTTCCTTCCCCCTTTTCCAAAAACTACTCTTCCAAAGTGTAATCAAGTCGCTTCGCCTCGCTTTAAGCCCCAACTTCGTTCGAGCATAGTTTCCTGCTATCCATCACTGTCCGACCTGTCACTTCTCGATCGCCCCCACAACCAACCAGCAAAGCAAGGCGCGGAAAAATTCCGCGGAAGAAGGGTGACCGCCGATTCGAGAAGGTGGCTGGAAATCGGCCACGATCGACCGAGGAGGCGATTTTCTTACACGTACGAGCTCGTCCGGGCATAAATTGGACGTAAGTGGCGCGATCGGCCGGCCGGATACTTAGCGAGTAATGCGGTCTCGCCTGGAGCGCTTCGATCGGTGTGTTCTGGAACTGGTTCGAAACCAGTCCGGAGGCGTCGAGACCTGTCCGCCGATCTCGCCCCTCCGATACGTCATTCGCGAAGAAAGAAATCGGAATCGCTCGCGATACGGATGCTAATTGAACGCCACGGCCGCTCGTTAATACGTGTGCTTGCTCTAATTATTGCTCTCGAGAACGCGAGATATGTAACGCCACAGCATTGTCGCTCGAACAATATGCGTATTGAATAACTGGATACAAATTCATTTTTAAATAAGTGTGAAAAAATAATTGTTTTATAACGTATTTTGATAACTGTACATTAAAAAATTTTTAATCCTCTTTCTTAAAGAAAATAATAAGCGTATTTATTATTACAGGCGAAGAACTTAATCGATCGCGTTTCAACAATTTTGAGAAATATTCTACTGGTAAATTTTTTAAGAAACAATTTAAATTTCGATATAATTATCTATTTTAATTTAAATCGTTATAAATTTTCGATAAGCTTTTCATTTCTTTTCTTTTTTAAATTAAACTTGAGGTTAAGTAATTCAACGTTAGAAATTCACACGATTTGTCATATTTGATTTTTTATACATTTCCAAATTATTTATTTATACAGGCGAAGAACTTGATCGGTCGCGTTTCAACAATTTTGAGAAATATTCTACTGGCAAATTTTTTAAGAAACAATTTAAATTTCGATATAATTATCCATTTTAATTTAAATCGTTATAAATTTTCGATAAGCTTTTCATTTCTTTTCTTTTTTAAATTAAATTAGTTTGAAGTTAAGTAATTCAACGTTAGAAATTCGCACGATGTAACGATTTGTCAATATTTGATTTTTTATACATTTTCAAATTTTTTAAGAAACAATTTAAATTTCGATATAATTACTTTTTTTTTACCGCCATTTTTAATTCGCAAAATTTTATTAAAATTAATTTCCAACGTTTGATCTAGCCATTCGTATTTATGGATTAACTTTAACCTATCATAATATATGCATTTCTGTCATTTATTATTTATTTTGGAGAAACAACAATATTCTTAATCGGCGGATCGTTAGAGACGAATGTGATCGTGGAATTGGCGTATTCGTCCGCGACCTTCGCCGCGATTATGATAGCTGTTCGACGGGTAATTGGTGATAATTTTGATAGGAGGAGCGCGGAACTACGGTAAATTATCGTGGACAGCGATTGCACGATGCGGTTGATTCAAGGCTGAATCAATTCGACGATTTCTAATGCGGTTTCTAAATTGAATAGCCAGGAGACGTATTACACATTAATGTGGATTACGCTTGACAATGTTTCAGAATGTAATTCTCGGAAAATTGAAACGTATACCTCGGAATACTGATCAGCGGTTGATGCAACTTCTAATTTGCTCGTTAAATAAACCCCCTTTAACCTCTTTTGATTACGGCAGCACGATGTAACGATTTGTCAATATTTGATTTTTTATACATTTTCAAATTTTTTAAGAAACAATTTAAATTTCGATATAATTACTTTTTTTTTACCGCCATTTTTAATTCGCAAAATTTTATTAAAATTAATTTCCAACGTTTGATCTAGCCATTCGTATTTATGGATTAACTTTAACCTATCATAATATATGCATTTCTGTCATTTATTATTTATTTTGGAGAAACAACAATATTCTTAATCGGCGGATCGTTAGAGACGAATGTGATCGTGGAATTGGCGTATTCGTCCGCGACCTTCGCCGCGATTATGATAGCTGTTCGACGGGTAATTGGTGATAATTTTGATAGGAGGAGCGCGGAACTACGGTAAATTATCGTGGACAGCGATTGCACGATGCGGTTGATTCAAGGCTGAATCAATTCGACGATTTCTAATGCGGTTTCTAAATTGAATAGCCAGGAGACGTATTACACATTAATGTGGATTACGCTTGACAATGTTTCAGAATGTAATTCTCGGAAAATTGAAACGTATACCTCGGAATACTGATCAGCGGTTGATGCAACTTCTAATTTGCTCGTTAAATAAACCCCCTTTAACCTCTTTTGATTACGGCAGACTTTGAGACGCACCTGGCCGTGCTATACGAATAGGAATTCAATTACGACAAGCACGGCGAAATTTTGGGGTGGAATTTTTGTTAAAACATATTTCAATAATCAAATTATCTTGAATTTCACTACATTAAAACGGTATTATTTATTTCTTTGTACTCTGAATCCAACTTGCTATTGTAAATATTAAAAATTTAACCCATTCCATTTAGCTCGAAAACAGAGTTGCAACACGAGTCGAAATATAAGTATAGAAATAAATGTGATGTAGTCATTTGCTTTACGCGATACAGTTGTGGATGTAACCAATAATTTTTTTTGCTTTTATGCGTATATATATTACGAATCTATTATTTTTTGATAAATGATAAACAATAGTTTCGAAACTATATTTTATAAATAATTTTTACTTTAATAGAAATTACAGTCGTCAAGTGTGCCTTTGTTCCAAGGAATGTAACAATACTACGTCTTAAAAATAAATTAGTATATTATGAACAAAAAATTTAATTACAAGAAATGCTCGTCTTGAGTCAATATTTAATAGGAAAATATTCACTCTAAAAATTAATAATTTCTTATTTTGGTGCAAACGCTTCGCTATCATTGGATTGCTTCCATGTAAATGTTTCATATCTTTTGTAAGGATTCATTCAAAATGTAAAATTATTAAAATCTTACTTCAAAAATCAAAGTACAAAATCACGTTTGCTTTGCAACGTAGATTATAAGAATCGTGATCTTCTCTTCCTTGATACTAAATCACGATTGGAACTGACAAAAATTCATTCCACTCGTGCTATTCACGTTTGGGCCGAAATCTTCACCAGACGAGTCAGACTCGTTAAATTAACGTCAAGCTTTTTTTCGCAATATACCCAACAATCTAGTAAAATTCGACACAATTCATGGATAAATACATAACCCTACATCACATTTCTTAGATTCGTAATATGTCTCGTTTCTCTCTTCTTATATTTTCACTATACATTCGCGTTTTTCCAAATTTTCCAGGAGCCTTCGGAAAGCCAAACTGCGTCGAGCGCCTTTAGGCGATCAGAATGGGACTCTCAGTGTCACAAGCGCAAAATTCAAACACGTTTATAGGCGGCAGATTAGGGAGTTGAACGTTTCGAGAAATATTTTCCGCAACTTCTCTCTATCAGATGCAATTCGTGTCAGAAAAGGTGTTGTTACCCAGCAGAAAACGTAAATGGTTACTGCGGCGGTAGGCGCACGGTAAAAGCATCGAACGAGCAGCGATAAATACGATGTCGCGGTTTACGATGACGTCCTCTTTTACGGAAGCGTTGCGGAAGAAAAATGATAATTGACGATTATTAAGCGAAGAAACGAGACGATTCGTTTGATTAAATCGTCGATGAATGGAAATCCACGTAGAAAAAGAATCCCGTATCTTCGCGGTTAGCAAGGGCTGTTAGCGGAATTAAACTATCATTTATGTGGGATTGGAAGGGTGAGCCAGTTGAGCAAGGTTGCGGCAGCCTCAATGGTGGCGCGAGATACCGTGCTAATTCTCGTTTAAGCGCAATTTATAGCTTAGCAGCCAGTTTTCGGATGGAAACAACGAGATAGATTCGAAACTTTCGACTGAGACGTGGCATCGATCTATCCGTCGAAAATTCATTGCATCGTTTTGTCAGACGAAGTTTTACAAAGCGTCAAGGTAGTGGCATTCGAATCGAGGCGATCCGCTCCTCGAGGAGAAAAAATTTACGATAAATTTTCCAAACGCGGGTAAAATTCCGTGAATTCCATTAAACAGCGTTAAATCACCAGATCGGTGCATGCTGATGTATTCTTTTTTGCGGTGAATTCGTTCGAATGCAAGAATTCAAATTCGGTTCATTTTTCTTTTCCACTCGGGTAAGAGTTGCAATTTTTAAATATAAAACGAAAGCTTCTATCTCTTGTTGTATACGTTTGTTATTTAATATATAATTTTGTGGTAATTTGCCAACAATGTGCATTTGTATATCGCAATAATGAACCGTTTGCATTCGATGCATAAGAGATGATGAGCGCTCAATACGAGTGACTTTTGAGAGATATATATCTCAATTATCGTGTTCTTTAGGAAGCAAGGAAAACCATATTCCAATCTCACCGTATATAATTATTCTTACGAATTTATTTTCTCGTAAAATAAAACCCATCGATCGAACGTTAATCTAACCATAAGCCTCTTGATACTTGAGTCTTCCATCTTACCAGATATTGCTTAACAAGTAATTTTATTTAATGGAAAATCGAAGTATATTTTTAAAACCAACTTGTCCGTGCTCTCGCTCTCCTTAACGTTCAACTTTCATCCTGTCGCGAGGATCAACAAGGGGAGTCAAGTTGTCGAGGGTTGATAATAGTCGGAGCTAATCGACTATGCGTTTAACGCGAAATCGACCTTGCGTATTTATTGCCAGGCGCGTCTTACGCGAAATAAAAAGAGAACAGCTTTAGCTTCGAAGTAGTTGGTAATAAAAAAATAATAGCAGAGATCCGCGATTGGAATCGATAATGATGAAAACGAGCGGTCTTTTAAGCTTACGCGGTTCCTTCGTTTTGGTGAAAACGAGCTTACAAAGCTCTCCTCTGTGCAATAATGCAATGATCGAAGGAAGAGAGAAAGAGTTCTCGAAGTTGTTCCGGAAACGGAACTTGGCGAAATCTTTTTTTCAAACGCATGAGAGAAAGTTGCCATTTTAATTACCATCGCGATTATTGTCTTCTCTTCTTCTTCTTCTTCTTCTTCTTCCGCTGATGATTTCGAATGAAATTTTGCTGGAAAAGTTTGGGCAGGAGACGTTTCTTCGTGTGAAACGAATTCATTACGCACGTCACCTCGTCGAATGGAATCCACGAAACTTTGGCGAACGATCGCCTCTCCTTTTAGGAGAGGAGAGCATCCGCGAGGCTATAGGCAATTCTGAGAGCGGATAGAGCTCGAGTTACTACGGCGCGGCTGCTTTCCTCCTACATCCTCGGCTTTATCTTTGCCTCCGTCTCTCCTCCCTCCCCTCTCTCGACGCAGAGCATTTGGCCCGAGCGGAGAATTAATTAATCAGACAATGGTGGCACCCTGATAAATGGCCGACACGGAAGCGCATGATCGATAAGAGGCACCGTGCTACCATCAACGGTGTAAATATATGTTCCCGGCAAAGCGATGAATTCTTCCATGATGCACGACCCGTGTTTCCGATTCCATCGATTCCGTTATCGATCACTGGGATATGAAGCTCGAATGGAACGTTTTCTTACGAACTAAGTTAAGAAATGATTGCGATTCACGATGATTCTTCAATTTAATTAAGTTTTTTTTTTTTGTCAATTTTTATCGCTTTAATTGTAATCAAGCTTGTATTAATTAATTCCTTAATTTTTCAAAGTTGCAGAAGTGGAGCGAGTCTGGTGTAGAGTTTATTCGTGATGCTTCGTGGAATTAGGCGTGTTTACTTACTATGAGAAGTACGCATCTATTTTCAGAAGTTACACCGCCGCATCCGAGCCAGCTACCGACCACAGCCAGAACACCTGCGACGATCAAAGCGTAGGCTAGCGTCGGATACGTGGAGGTCGTCATCAGGGACACGTAGCTGTGCTTCGAAATCACCGTCCAGATACCGATCCCGCCCACCACCAGTCCAGACAACTGAAAACAAAAATAACACTGTTCTCAAACACTCTGCACGCTTTTAATCTCTCTAATTAACGCGCCAGTTGCATTCCAACATTCAAGCACAAAGGCTCGAAACACGTTGGCGTTGAACACATTCCTTCTCTCACGCCTTCTCATCTAATCTCTCGCGAATAAAGCGATTCGCAGTTGACTCTACGCCTAATTGTATTCCATTCCATGCGCCAAACTCGTTAAACCCATTTCCGCGCCCTCTACACAAACTCGTTTACACGATTGCAAAAGTTACGACCTTTCCCACGAGATACCCATCGAAATATCCGCAAAGTTCAACGCGTATATCGCGTCACCCGATTAATTCATTCCATTCTAAATACACAGTCTGTCCATTTGAACGTATTGATATGATCGTAACGTCTACGCGGTAGATTTCATTTAACCGATATGGAAGCTCTGGATAGAATTCCACGTGTTTAGATATCCGACCATCAACATCTGCACACACTGTAGAGGCACAGTCGATAACCGTGCGTCCTTCGTTATCCTCGCTACGATTTATCCGTCCATTTTTTTGCGTCTCTATTTTTCTTCTCTTCTTCTTCTTCTTTTTTTTTTTCTTTTCCCCTTTCCTATCGCCTTAATTTCCTTCGAATTTTTTTCCTATTCGATGTCGTGGTCGCGACGCCAATCCCCTCTCTCCCACGGGAGTAGAGGGCGCTGGGGAATATACGAGCAACGTAAATATCGGTGGACAAGCGATATTTACGGTATCGAGGAATGCAGCAACTGTGGCCGACTCTACCTTTCGTATAATTCGGTAGCACGGTTTTTAGAGCATGCGCGAGTTCGACGAACGTGTAAACGTTCCTGGCTTCCATTATCTGTCCTCCCAAGGATGCACACACGGGACCGTGATATCGTACGTTATCGGTACTAATTGCCACGGTTCTTTTTCGTTCGATTATTTTTTTTTTTTCGATAGAGGGAGGAGGATAGGTAGAAAAAAAAAAATTCTCGAGGGACAGATCAAAGCGTTATCTCTCTCAGTTAAAATTGTTCCGTCGAGCCTTTTTCACGTCGAAATATTTGAAATTGCCTCTTACAACAACAAGGCAACACCAGGAAAAGGAAAACTTTTTTATATTTCTTGAAGATATATAATTCTCTTCTTAAAATATATTTTTCCAAATGTATGTCAACGTATTTGAAATCGTTCCAACAAGGCCAACGCAACGAAAACGATAAGATAAAAAAACATCACGTCTCTTGAAAGTTTTGAAACGCTTATACGTTATAATTAGAGCGATCAAACACGCGTCTCGTATTCTGGCTCGAAAGAAATTAATTCTCCTAAAACACGCTCTATTAATTATCGCAAAAATTATGAATATCCTTCAATCGCGATAAATTTCTTCAGAAGCGAAAGAATTCGCATTCTATAATCGATAATTCTTTTTATCGGGCGAAAACCTAACCACCTTTAAAAAAACTCGGTGGAAGAACGCCTCGAATCCAATATCTATACGGTATGCCGTATACGCGCAGCGCGTGTCTCTCGAATCCCATTTCTAGCCTCGAAATATCTCTCTGCGGGGAGGCTCCCCTCGAGAGGGCAGCGATTTATTATTTTATCATTGTCCCGAGTGCCGAAGGCGGCCACGTATCTCGCCTCCAGTATAAATCCACGGTATGTGTGTGTATCGGCCCGCGATACGATATTCCTTTGTACGCTACGTGTATTTTGCATCGAGCGCACGTGGACTCGGATGCATATAATACGGAGACAAAGAGGAGACGATTGATATTTAATTCCAGAGAGGAGGGCTCGCGCGAGGAGAGGTGAACGTGAGGCAAGGAAAGCGCGTCTCCATGCTAATTTACGATTAATATCCGTGGGGGGGGGTGGTGGTTATTTGGGATATTTATTATCCTCTCGATCGAGGACTCGAGCGCGTTCTTCCTTTTTTTCTCTCCTCGAGAACAAAGATTGGAAACACGTACTTTTTTTCGATAATAAAAGATTCGTGGGAAAATTTGATCGATTTGACGGGAAATAATTTTAACGAGTGAAGCGAGTTTGAAGTTTTCCTTCTCCTTCTGGGTGGTCCGTCGGGGAATCAGAGGTGCATCGATGAAACAATGGATCGAAGATATATCCAGAATCGTCTCACGGTTCGATCGAAAATAAAAGAGGCAGGCGGCCACGTCGTTTTTATCTAGCCTGCTCAATTAGAGGAGCGCTCGGGCTTTCATCCTCGGGGCTTGGCCGTGCCGCCCGCTAACTATGCGACAGTCGGCTTAAAAGCCTCGTTTGGACAGGTTTTCTGGAATTCTTTTCGAGGGGGGGCACGACGAACGCCCCCGCGAGGGGCCCCCCCTTCCTTCTTCTCCACCGCCGCTTTCCTCCCAAACTTATGAATTCGAGAGAGCAAATAAAGAGTCGATGTCGGTCGTTCTTTTACCGTTTCACGGCCCAAGTGACGGCCGATGGGCCGGAAAATTCATTTCCTTCCTCCCATTCGTTTCGATCAACAGACGCTCCTCTTCTTTTTCTAAGGAGAAGAGCAAGATCTGGATTGGAAGATGAGTTCCATCGGTTCTAAATCTACGTCAGAGGATAATTGTTGCTTCGCCTCTCGCCAGAAACACACGTCTGAGAGATTGGCGCCACAGCGAGAATCCTTACAACTGAATCGAGCTCGTCGATTTCTCGTTAGATTAGAAGCAAGTCGATGAAAACAGCAACTGAGGAGTTTCGTTTTTACGGAGTCACTGTCGATTATCGATTGTCGATCCTCTTTACGAATTTTTGCACGATTTGTGAGAATGTACCTCACAAAAGTAAGGTCCAGTTGAATTTCTCACGGAGCCCAAAATGTTAGAAAACCAGAACGTAAACGGAGCGTAAAATATATATACATGTATCAATTCTTAGTTTTCATTAAATAATCGTGCAACATCGATTCTGAATTAGTTGCTCTCAATGTCTCTACTTTTACTTCTTCGTCTGTTTCGAGATTTTCCAAAGTCAATCTTAAGTATTCTGGTCTGAATACTTAAGTTAATTGGCTGAAATTCGACTTAGTTCTGTATTATCGATGGAAATTCGTAGCAACACCCTCCTATGTTACGGTATATATAATTTTAGATTTAAAATTGTACAAAGATGGTTCGTTAACGGATCATACTTATTCCCTCTTTTCTATTTCTATTGTTCTTAAATTTTAAATTCTGCGATTCCAACGTATATTTTATATTTATACTTCAGTGCTTATTCCATTAAATTCTTTTTGAAATTCCGATTTAACCCTTTGCATGTCGTCATATAGTTGCTATCCTACGTTTTATTATATATAATTACATTCTAGGGGATTCTTGATTAGTAATCTTAAAACCACTTCCATGAATCACGTCAGAAAAATAATCTAATAATTAGATTTCTCGATACCGTTAATTATTTTTCACTATTACTTCTTCACAAATAAACTGTTTGTTGCGTGCATAACAAGCCTTCTCTTTTCTCGAACCGGTGCGATGTTCGTAGTTACGTAACGTTAGCTTTTCACGTCGTCGTAGCTGCGCAAAGTATGTCAGAGATGCGTCTAATTTTAAATCTTGCTGTATCCGCGAATTACGCGCAAATAAGAAGTCGCCTGTTTCCACGTCCAACTTATATATATATATATATACACGGTTGGTGCATCACATGCAGCCAAGCCGAGAAGATCTCGAAGCTCGTAAATCGGCGAGCGAGTGGTTCGCATCAACAACGTTATTTATCCCCGTCTTTTCTATTTGGTGTATCAAGTGGAGGAAAAAAACGAGGGCAGAGGGAAAACAGACGCGATTATTTCTCTCGTGTTCGGTCCTGCTGCATTCTTCGTTCCAGCTGCCTTCGAGATATCATCGGCCAACCACCACGTTGTTTATTTCTCTCCCTTGATATAATACTTAATATTAACAGCTTTAAACGATCGATTCCACAGTGTCGAGGCTTGTTTGTTAAATAATAAAACGTTCGATTCGATATTTTTGACCAACTCTTGCCTTTGCTTCGATCTTCCAAAGATTCGCTTAATATTCATTCTGTTGTAATTTATGACGTCACCACCGTTTTATCCTCGTCGTTTTGCGAAACAAGGGGAAACTTGGATGCCTCAACTAATTTAATGGAATCGTTCGAGAGAAGTTTAAGATTATTGCAGTTGAAAGTACTTTCGTTCCTAAATCTGCCAGAGGCGCGTGCTACCAGATCTCGAAAGGCGTTAAAAATTCTTACGAAATCTGAACGAAGGTGTTAATAAGTTGGGACAATAACGTAGGATAGCGATACCCAAAAATTCCAGCCCAATTTCTCGAGCACACAAAAGAGAGGAATATCGAACTGGAGAACGCGAGTCACATTCCATCTCCGATTCGTCGAATAGCTCCTCTACTAAAACTGAGTAAATATCGAGTTGCACGTTATTAGATCTTGATCGAGAGAATTCGAAAAGAGTCATCTCCATTAGCATTTGAAGAAGAAGATCATCATTTGCAAGGAATAATCATTCCACGCTTCTCCTCTCGATCGACCACTTTTATTCGACATCCAAGCATCTCAGTGAAACATTAAAACGGGAATGCGGCTGCTCGACCACATCGCGGATGAAGCCGTAGTAATAACCTTTCCAACTCTTCGCGAGAATGAGATTCCATCGCAGAGAGGACCAAAGATTGCCAAGTTCTCTCAGCGCCAACTGTCTGCTTCCAGAACACACACCCAATCTAGCCACGTAAATCCAGGGAGACCTGTTGTATCCCCGCAAGACAAGAAATTAGAATAATCACGTGTTACGAAGTGACTGCGGTGGAAGTCTCGCGCATTTCATTTGGAGAAGGATTTCTCTCTTAATCTCCCCTCTCTCTCTCTCTCTCTCTCTCTCTCTCTCTCTCTACTC